AGCACGAGTAGGATTTGGGTTTAGAGTTCTAGGGTTTAGGGTCGAGGATTTAGGATTCGACAGGTTTCAGGGGTTGGGGTTTCTGGGTTTGTGGATTTGCTTGTCCTCACGCGAGATGCAGATGGCCGTCTTGAAACCCTCCGGACGTTGCCCACTTTCTGGCCTTTGGCCTCTGACACTCTGATAAGGGCCTAAATAGTTCCTTATTATTCTGATTACAAAAGCCCAAATAATTACCAACACTATTTTGGGGGTTCCTTATTATGATTATAGTAGGCTTTGTGGTAGGGCTTGGAATGATGTGACAGGCGCCTACTGGAGCTAGGGGCAGTACCCAGACTTGCCGATCTCGATAGGATTCCTTAACCCAAACCCTGAACTCCAAACCTCAAGCTCTGAGTGTGGTGTGGTGGTAGAATCCCTCATTGCTGCTGATCGTATGGAGTTCCCGTCCCTCAGCTGGTACGGTAGTTTGGATGCCTTACGGTGAAAAGACACTGAAAAAGAACCTCAAGCTCTAAAGTGCACCAAAGTCTTCAACCTGCAACCTGAACCAGAAGCGAAACCCCACAATGCAATTCCAAGAATCTTAAACGCTCACGTAAGCCCTAACCCTTCTGCTGGTAGCCTCAGCTAGGTTAGGGTTTAGGGTTTAGGTTAGGATTTAGGGTTTAGGGCTTAGGGTTTAGGGTTTTGGGTTTAGGTTGGTGTTTAGGGTTAGGGTTCCCAAGTCCGACGTTTTCCATGCAGCTCGCAGCACTTTCACAGGTCGCATGGCTTCATGTCCCCGAGCGTCAAGCTCTGAACCCAGATCCCGAAATTCTATTCTAAATCCTAGGTCCTAGACCCTACATCCTAGCGAAATTCCACTGTCAATCCTAAGCCCTAAACCCCAAACCGTAAATTCCAAACCATGCGCTTGAAGTTTCGACGCCTGGACGACCCAGACTCGGATTTCATAGGACCCTGAACGCGGAATGTCTGACTCTTGCGGTTCTTAAGCCTTTCTCCGGAAGACCCAACAACTAGAATCCTCATGGTAACCCTTACCGTAAGCCTGATAGCAGGCTGTTTCGTATTCCGTAGTAGTAAATCTTATGCCCGACACCCCAGACTGCCCCAGTCTGGCCAGAAGCCCTCGAGCTCCACACCGTAGACTCGACACCCTCCCAACCCAACCCTAAACCCTAATACCCTAGACCCTAGACCCCAGGCCCTAAACCCTAAACCCTAAACGGCCCTAAACCCGAAACCCAACCCTAAATCCTAAACCCGAAACGTTGGGCCTTTTGGGCCGCTGGTGATGGGCCAACAGCGGCCCAATGGCGCTGGCAGCAGAGGGGCGCGCGGCCATGGAGCGCCAAGCGCAGGAGCAGCTGGTTTGGGGCTTGGGGTTGTTGTGAGGGTAACGTCGGATAAGGTTTCATTCAGGGTCTGTGGGTTGTTTTGGGATAAAGGGGGGGTTTGGGGTCTCTGCAAGGGTTTTCTACAAGTTTGGTAAGAAGCCTACAACGCTAAACCCTAAACCTCAAACCCTGAACCTTAGAAGGGCCCCCACCCTGTAATTTGGCTATACGGATTATATTAGGGCCCTATTATATTCCTATTATGCCACTATTACAGGGTGGGGGCCCCTTCTAACCTAAACCCCAAATCTTCCACTGCAGAAACTTACCCTGAGCTCCTGAACGCTCCTGCCGACTGCACCGAAGGAGCTGGCGGAGAAGGCAGTCTTGCATGACGAGCTTGTGGGATGCCCCTGGGTTCCTTAAAATTTTAGGGTTTAGGGTTTAGGGGTTTAGGGTTTAGGCTTACCTTCTTCTTGCTCCTGTTATTGCCGCGATGACTGATGCTATTGCTCTTCTTCGTCTTATTATACAGTAAATCAAGATTAACATAGCTGTTGTAAATATGGCGCTTAGTGGTTTTATTTAGGGATCCAAGAAGGAGAAGGATGCTACTAGCTAGGCTTCCATATTAGAGGATCCTCCATCCCTCGAGAGTTTGTTCTTGGATGGTTTAGGACTTGGGGTGGCATTTCTGGTTGGGGTTCTAGGCCTTGAAGCCTTGAACTCTGGACACCTTACAGCCCAAACCTCGTCGAGCCCGCCGGGTGACCCTGAAAGAGCACCCTGACGGTAACCTTTGGAGGAACCCTTGCAGCAACCCTACCCGTAATCCATATAGTCACCCTTACAGGAACCATGACATAGATTCTCAGAGCAATAGGAATAGTAGAGCAACTCGTGTTGCAAAATGAACCCTCCACCCTAAACTTACCTTTGGTTAGTAGGGAACGGAAGAATGGTAGTAATAGTAGTTATACTTGTACCCCATTCCTCCATTCCCTACTAACCAAAGGTCAGTAAACCCTAACACTGCCCCAGACCTGGAGCCTGAACCTCTGAAACGAAGCCCTCACGCGTGGACCCGAAAACTCTGAAGCACAAAGTGGTGTTGTTCTCATCCCTGACCCTCCCCTGACAGAAAGCCTCTAACCCCCCAAGCCCTAAAACCGAACCATGGACCCGAAATCCATTTAAATCCTCAATTTTGCGGTTCCGGGTTTAGGGTTCTAAACCCGAAATCATTAACACTAAATCCAAAACTCTAAGCCATTCCCATTTACCAGCTTAACAGAGTTTTCGCAACCTGCCTGCCGCTGTTTCGGCTGTTTGTAGAGCTCTAATACTTAGTCATAGCATGGTTCTCGGGTTCCTCCTCATACTGCAGTTACTTCGAGTATAATAGGCTGCGGCTCCTGACTACTTTACAGTAGCTAGCATGCATAACTAGGATGCCCAGTAATACCCTTATTCCCTTTCTGTAGTCCTAGGTTCCTTATAAAGTTACCCAATACCAAAAAGAGAGGCCTTTTTTTTTCTTCTTAGGTTACTGGGTATCCTAGCTAAACAGTAAGCCCTTGAACCCCGGACCCTAAAACTCCAACCTAAACCCTATGAACCCTAAGCAGTCATCAAAGGAGCTTAAGAAAACAAAACTAAACCCGGAACCCTAAAAAATCAGCCTAAACCCTAGTATCCTAGATAACATTCTATCGGCTTCCTTACTTGGCTCTTTGGGCCTCGCTCCGACCGACTCGCCGGGACCTCAAGAAGGGAGATTAGGGTTTAGGGTTTAGGGTATGAATAATAATAGTTATTAATAATAATAATAGTAAAAAAAAATAATAATAATAGTAGTAGTAATAATAATAATATTAATAGTAATAATAATAATAATAATAATAATGCTTCGAAACTTCCGACAAGTTCTGAGTTCAGGGTATCTTTTACCGGTTTTATCGGATTGTACAAGGGCTTTAGGGTCTTGTAAAGGGGCGTTTATACAGAACTTGTGAAGGGTTCTCAAGGGGCATTCTAGACGGCATACTGACATCATCTACTCTGCGTGCCAGGACTTAAATGACCAAAGCGCCATTGCAAACTTAGGCCCTGAGCCTAAAATCTAATCCCCTAAACCCTAAACCTACAGCCTAAACCCTAAAGAGCCCTGTGTCACGGAAGGCCAGGGCTCGGGGTTTCCTTTTATGGCGCCCCATGCTTCAAAAGACTACGACGTGGGTTACGACTGGACCCTGAACCCTAAACGGCCCTAAATCCCAAACCTGAACGGTAACACGTGCTACAAATTGCCCCTATAAACCTTCACTACCCTAAACCCTAAGCCCTAAAACCCTAAACCCCGATGCCCTAAAATCCTAAACCCTAAACCCCTAAAGCCCAGTCGTTCTATCATCAGGCGCATCACTTCGACCATCATCCTTATGACTGCGGCGAGAACCCAAAAGAGCCATGCTATCGTTCAGAAGACTGTAGCTAAACCGACCTCCAAATCGCTGACAGTCCTGAAAGCTTCTAGTATAGAGTTTTGCGGATTTAGGGTTTAGGGTTCAGGTTTCAGGGTAGCGTTTAGGGTTAAGGGTTAAGGTTTCACGGTTTGGTTTAGGGTTCAGGGTTCAAAGCCAATTTCTCTGACCTCCAGTAGCCATCCAACTCTGCCTTCGTGGTTTGAGCTTAGCGTTCAGGGCACATTAGCTGCTGCCCTGTACGACTCTGAGTAATTCCTAGCCTAAACCAGGCTTTTAACCCCAAGTCCGAAGATGGCGAAGTAATGTTGGGGCCTTAATAATTAGAATAGGGTTTGGGGGTTATAGTATACTATAGTTATAATAAGGACCCCCCCAAAACCCTATTCTCATTATTAACGCCTCTACAGTCCAGGCTTTCGGGCTCCCTGCCGGCTTGGAGGCACGCGCTTTTGGGGGCAATCTGGGTGGTTGTCAAAACTATGGACCCCAAATCCTTATTTTAATACGTCACCTAGTATTTAGGGTGCCCAAAAAGGGACCCTAGTTTTGCCCTAGTTTTGATTTTGACAAGCACCCATCTTGTTTTCGATGTTTCCTGCCTGCTTGCCTGCCCACCTAGCCACCCAGGTACCTGACAGTTATGATCCTTGGAGTGCGTGCTCTTCCTGCTACTCTTGTTGTCGTTGCCTAAACCCCAAAAAAACCCAAAGCTCCCGAAGCCTTGGTTGATGTTGTGCAAAGCCAGAGAGTCCCTATAGTAGAACCCCTATAGATCCCTTTTAAGGAACCCTTTAAGGAACCCTAGCTATTAAGTCCCATGATCCTTTAAGTAAAACCCAGGAGGTGGAGTCTTCTATGTCTCGGCCCTTCCTCAACTTAGGACTCTCGTCTCTAGGCCCTGCTTAAACCCCGAAGCTGCGGCACCTGAAGTTAAGAGCCGTACCGAAGCCCAAGAATCGAGAAGGCAAGACCCCAAAAATCCCAGAGTTGCAGAGACCTGCTTCATTCTCCTGATCAGCTGTTCCAGCAGAGGCATGTCGGAGACACCAGACCCAAGCCTTGCTTCTTTATACCAGAGAGGACAGAGTCTCAGATTAGTCTTCACCTCGCTTCAGGTTGCCTCCATAGCCTTGGAGACCTTGGCCCCTCCTCCGGGCCCCGACTTGCCATGGATGCCCCGCCGAAAGCCCGGCGGGGACCGCGGCCGCGCCTCTGGGAGACGCTTGCGGCGGGCCTGTGCCTGGCCTGGGCAGCCTGTGCCCTGCCGAGCTGTGGCCATGGCTTCTCCGCCGGGGTTGGACTTTCTGGGCTCTTTGGGCTCGCAGGCCGCAGCGGGGCTCCGCTACGGGCCGTTGCGGTCGAGGAGTCCGTGAAGAGCTCCCGGCCGTGGAAGCCGGCTCGGCCCCCTCTGGTGCCGATGCTCTTCGAGACCTTCAATGTATCAGACAACACCGATGTGAAGGCGATCGCTGGGTACATCTCCGGAGTGCTTGAGGAGTCTGAAACCCTTCGCATTGTAGACATGAAGGTGATGACACGGAAGGCTCGGAGTAAGGCCCTCTACATCTTAGCCTACATCAATGCTAAAGAGGTTCGGACCACAGCCCAGATTCTGCCACGACAGCGGGATGGTCGCTGCAGGCTCCGCATCATCCGTGACTTCCCCGTCACCGAAGATCCCGAGCCGGCGGTGCTCCGCGTGGGCTCTAACACGAACGCCACGGCTCTCGCGAACCTTATCGCGTATCGCCTGCGCTCCGTGGAGACTCGGCATGATGTCAGGTGCCGCAAGCCGCAAGCCCTACAACCGCCGTAGCTCAACCACCTTTGTATATAGCAACCCTGGCAGTACTCCATAGCAACCCTGAAAGTACCCCTTACTAGTATGGTCACCCTCATAGTAGCGCGTACGGTCAGACTTACGGTAATCCTTACCGGTGCAGTGAGATACTGGCGAAAGCTCCATGGAGCCACTTGAGGTTCCGAATCGCCAAGAGAAACAGAGGCACAGTACCAGGCTGCCACCCTAAACCTTACCTTAAGGATTCTAAACCCTCCACCCTGTATTGAAGCAAACCTCGATCGCCCCAACTCAATAGTATCCCTGATAGGAAGCTTTTGTAGCAAACCCAAACACCCTAAACCCCAAACCGTAATGCTTAAGCCGTCGGTTCCTAGGAGACGATGGGAGGTGATAGCCGAGCTAACACCGTGAAACTGGAGCTGCTGGGCACCGCCGCGTCCTCTTTAGCCTTAATGGCTGTGGAGTGCTCCGGCTAGTTAAGTAGGGTCTTTTAGGGCTTTATCTTCAGCGGTTTCGTTCCTTGAGGATTTTTGGGGCTATATTATCCATCTTCTTGCTTTTGCTCACGGTTTCGAGTTTTGGCGCACTGGGATATGCTTTTCGATGTTTGGGGTTTGCGGTTTCGCTCTTTGGTGAGGTTTTTCGTGTGAAAGAGCGTATATGCAAGATGCAAGACACTCCGGGACCTCCATTGAAGCCTGAAGCTGGGGCTGCAGTCTCCAGAAGACCACATGGATGGTTGTGAATGTTGGGGTCCCTTTTGGGGTCCTTATTATAATACGGCACCTATTATTTAGGGTACCCAACAAGGGGCCATAATTTTGACAACCACCCACATAAGCATGGCTTCTGGAACTTCCTCGGTTGCTCAATACCCTGCGTGCAGGCTTCCTATGGGTTTTTTAAAGATATGGGTAACTTCTTTAGGTTCCTCACAATAAGGATCGTACCATTTACATAGGGTCTGCCATGGGGTCTCCTTGTATTTATGTTCCTCTTCTGGCCTTTAAGCTGTCTATGAGCCAACAGCAATACAGCAGCCTCGTCAAACAACCACATAGCTCTTTCAAGCTCACAGCGTCTACGTGCATTGAAATCATAGTATGGGTCTTGAGCAAGGGACCGAGTCTAGGTTGACCTGGTAAGTGTTGGGGGTTGGGGATTCAGGGTTTAGGCTTTAGATTTAGAGCTCAGGGTTTAGGGTCGGGGGTTTAGGTTATAAGGCCGTTGAGGGCTTAGTGTGTTGAGGGACCTTGAAGCCACACCCCCGAATTCCTCCAAGAGACAGTACATTGCATTACATTTTATTTTGTGATATTCCAGTATGTTATATTACATGTTAGTATGGCTATGTTACTGTTATTGCCAGGAAGGCCCACTGTATGACCTCCCGGGAAATGGCAGTGGTGGCGCGCTTTGCGAAGAGCGATGAAGGTGAGGGGTAGCCTTTTGCTTGGGGTTGAGCGTTAAGGGCTTTAGGGTTGAAGGTTTCAGGGTTTATAGTTTAAGTTTATGGGTTTGAGATTACGAGTTCGGGCTCGGGGGTTTGGGGCTTAGGGTCTGTGGTTTTTGAGCTTGTGGCTTAGGGTCGCGGCTTTTCGGGATATAGGGTCTATTTGCGGGTTTGAGGGTTCTGGTTGCGGGGTATTACTTGGAGGTTCATGGTTAGTTCTAAGTAGGGTTATAAGTAGGATGACTATAGCTATAACCCATATTAAGGGACTTATAACCCCACTCATAATTACCCATGAGCCTCCAAGCAAGGTGTCAGATCTAGGGTTGCGGGTCTTGCCCACCGTCACTTCTTTCACGGGTATGGCCCTAAACCCCAAAACCCTGCCGCAAGATGCGTCAGCCTAATCATAACCCTACTCGCACGGTTTCGCTAGCCTTTCAGCTTGAAACCCTCGCATAGGAGCGGAACTTCTAAAAGCGCCCAAATGACGAGCGATCGCAGGCGAGGATGAACGGCCGATCATCTCTGCCACAGTGACGGCCACGTGAGACGCTTCCTGCAGACTTTATAAAGATATTACTGGGTTGTCAATTTCCCCTACTTTGTAGAGAACCATAATAGTAAGTAATTTTTCAAAGGGCTTTATAAAGATATTACTGTAGAGAATCATAATAGTAAGTAATTTTCAAAGGGCTTTCTAAAGAGATTAGTTTCTAATCGAAGCCCAGGGTTCAGGGCCTTAAGGTCTCAGACCGAGAGACTACATGGCCGAGGGGCACACAACACTGGTTAAAGACGTCAAGATCACGCAACCACAGCTGTTGATTTAGTCTTACCTTGAACGCACGGTCTATCTATTTACCCATAGGCGTGTTCTATTTTTGCTTCCTAGGAGCAAGTTTCAAAAGCGTTGATGTGCGACCTGGACGAGGAAAGAGCGCCAGCACGATCCCGCATGGATCCGTTGTACACGGTTTCGGGTTTAGGGGTTCAGGGTTTTGAGTTGAGGGCTCAGAACAGAGTGTCAGAAGGTTCACCGCACCATTCTCATGTCTACTTAAGGGCTGACTGCTTGGCGCTACCATGACCCCCGTTCCATAAGCCTGTCCGGCAAAGACTTACGAGAGCTACACCTCTGTGTGCTCATCGGCGGGTTCATGTCCAGAATCGCATAGTGTACTATTTTATTGTTATTAGTGTTGTTATTGTTTTTATCAGTACTATTATGATGATGATGACTATTATTGTTGTGTTAGATTTCAAGAGGGGGCGTGGCAACTGGCAGTTCTCGTGAAGGGTCCGTGGATTTCGGTGGCCGACAGAGTGTGATTTAGGAGTTTGAGCATGTAGCAACAGTATCCCCTTGCATATGGTCCCTACCCATCGCACCTCAAGGCCCTACTCTAATTGTTAAGTTCCTCATATCAGCATTCCTGGCGGGTGCTGGCGATATCACAGGCTCCTAGGCGCTGGTAAACCGCGGCAGCTCAAGTCCAGGGTTCAGGGGATCAGGATTAGGCAGGGTTGGGGGGTAAATCCTAAACCGCCCTGAACCGTGGGAGCTTCCCCAAGGCCTTAGATCTGAGTTTAGCAATGGTCAATTTTCGTTGTTTGGCACGTAGCAACATGGTTTTTAGCCCGCTGATCTTTCAAGTAGGTTTTTACCAAGACCCCACACCCCCTAATTCCCCAGACCATACGCCCTCAACCCCTAAGCCCTAAACCCCTAAACCCCTAAACCCTGAACCCCTAAACCCCTAACCTCTAAACCCCTAAACCCCTCAACTTTAGACCCCTGAACCCTAAACCCCCTAAACCCCAAAATTCAACGCCCCTAAATCCTAACCACCGAAACCCATAACCCTAAACGCCCTAAACCCTAAACGCCTAAACCCTAAAACCCTAAACCCTAAACGCCCTAAACCCTAAACGCCTAAACCCTAAAACTCTAAACCCTAAACGCCCTAAGCCGTAAACCCCCTTAAACGATCTGCTGGGCCCGGCAAGGCCAAGTTGGTAGAGACCTGCCGGGCTTTTGGTGGAAGGTCGTCGGAGGCTGCTTTGTTTTATTTTTTTGGGGGGGGGGATGGGAGGGCTGGGGTTTCTAGGGTTTAGGGTTTAGGGGTTATATAGGGTTTAGGGTTTGTGTTAGGGCTTAGGATTTAGGGTTTAGGGTTGGGGTGTAGAAGACGGGGGGCGGCGGGGTGGGTGAGGGGTTTAGGGTTCTGGACTTAGGGTGTTGGGGTGTAGGGCTGAAACGGAGTGTGTGTGTGTGTGTGTGTGTTCCTTTTTTTTTGGGCGTCCTTGTTCGGGATTTTGGAGTTTTCCACTTGTTCAAAGGGTTGGGGTCAAGGGATAGCTGGGATTTTGTTTGTGAGCTCTAGGGTTCAGCGTTCAGGGTTTCGGGCTCGGGGGTTCTGGAAGCTCAGGCTTCAGCTTGTCACGTTGCTTGCGGGTTTCATCGTGGGCAGTGGCATGGACACGTTTTGGAAGAGTCCTGCGGGAAGCCCGTGCAGTTTAGAGCATCTCCACAAAAGTCTGCATCGTGGCTGCGCAAAGAAAGATGTCTGGTGCGCAGGGAGGCAGCCTAAGATAGGGGCCGAGATATTTACCAGTACTATCTTGGGGGTTTCTCAGTATAGCTTACCAGGCTCGAAGCCCTATTCTAATTGCTAAGGCCCCTATATTATGGTATCCTTATAGATCCCTTATAGTAGCCCTTATAGACCCCATAGAAGGAACGCATACGTTGCAGCCTTTCACACCCGGCCAAGCCTCGTGGCTTGCTTCGGGGACCTTCGCTGCAGACACTGCTCTCAGATTCTCTCTCATGGGGCAAGCCTGCTGTCATGGTAGCACTCGTGTGATCATCCCTGGAGCACAGCACAGCTTCCGCCGCATGAGAAGCTGTCGGGCGGCAGGTGGTAGTGGAGAGTTGTGTGTGGGGCCCCTCCGCACTTGCATGTCATGCCTGCAGGACCTAGCAGGAAGTTGTTAAGAGCGATGCATCTGTATTACCCAGCCTGGCACTTGGCCAAGTCTGGGGACCTGTGATGCAGACACAAATCTCCATCAGGCCGTCTCTCGATGTTGTGTTTCTTGGCAGCATCGTTGTCTGATCCTGAGAGCAAGGGTGCATCATGATGGGAGCATGTGCACTGCGAGAAGCTTGTGTTTCAATCACCCCTCTGCATCTGTTCTACCTGGCCGGGCACGAAGGCTTCGTTTGGGGACTTGTGTGTGGTGCAGACACTGCTCTCAGATTCTCTCTCATGGGGCAAGCCTGCTGTCATGGTAGCACTCGTGTGATCATCCCTGGAGCACAGCACAGCTTCCGCCGCATGAGAGGCTGTCTGGTGGCAGGTGGTAGTGGAGAGTTGTGTGTGGGGCCCCTCCGCACTTGCATGTCATGCCTGCAGGACCTAGCAGGAAGTTGTTAAGAGCGATGCATCTGTATTACCCAGCCTGGCACTTGGCCAAGTCTGGGGACCTGTGATGCAGACACAAATCTCCATCAGGCCGTCTCTCGATGTTGTGTTTCTTGGCAGCATCGTTGTCTGATCCTGAGAGCAAGGGTGCATCATGATGGGAGCATGTGCACTGCGAGAAGCTTGTGTTTCAATCATCCCTCTGCATCTGTTCTACCTGGCCGGTCACGAAGGCTTCGTTTGGGGACTTGTGTGTGGTGCAGACACTGCTCTCAGATTCTCCCTCATGGGGCAAGCCTGCTGTCATGGTAGCACTCGTGTGATCATCCCTTGAGCACAGCACAGCTTCCGCCGCATGAGAAGCTGTCGGGCGGCAGGTGGTAGTGGAGAGTTGTGTGTGGGGCCCCTCCGCACTTGCATGTCATGCCTGCAGGACCTAGCAGGAAGTTGTTAAGAGCGATGCATCTGTATTACCCAGCCTGGCACTTGGCCAAGTCTGGGGACCTGTGATGCAGACACAAATCTCCATCAGGCCGTCTCTCGATGTTGTGTTTCTTGGCAGCATCGTTGTCTGATCCTGAGAGCAAGGGTGCATCATGATGGGAGCATGTGCACTGCGAGAAGCTTGTGTTTCAATCATCCCTCTGCATCTGTTCTACCTGGCCGGGCACGAAGGCTTCGTTCGGGGACTTGTGTGTGGTGCAGACACTGCTCTCAGATTCTCTCTCATGGGGCAAGCCTGCTGTCATGGTAGCACTCGTGTGATCATCCCTTGAGCACAGCACAGCTTCCGCCGCATGAGAAGCTGTCGGGCGGCAGGTGGTAGTGGAGAGTTGTGTGTGGGGCCCCTCCGCACTTGCATGTCAGGCCTGCAGGACCTAGCAGGAAGTTGTTAAGAGCGATGCATCTGTATTACCCAGCCTGGCACTTGGCCAAGTCTGGGGACCTGTGATGCAGACACAAATCTCCATCAGGCCGTCTCTCGATGTTGTGTTTCTTGGCAGCATCGTTGTCTGATCCTGAGAGCAAGGGTGCATCATGATGGGAGCATGTGCACTGCGAGAAGCTTGTGTTTCAATCACCCCTCTGCATCTGTTCTACCTGGCCGGGCACGAAGGCTTCGTTCGGGGACTTGTGTGTGGTGCAGACACTGCTCTCAGATTCTCTCTCATGGGGCAAGCCTGCTGTCATGGTAGCACTCGTGTGATCATCCCTTGAGCACAGCACAGCTTCCGCCGCATGAGAAGCTGTCGGGCGGCAGGTGGTAGTGGAGAGTTGTGTGTGGGGCCCCTCCGCACTTGCATGTCATGCCTGCAGGACCTAGCAGGAAGTTGTTAAGAGCGATGCATCTGTATTACCCAGCCTGGCACTTGGCCAAGTCTGGGGACCTGTGATGCAGACACAAATCTCCATCAGGCCGTCTCTCGATGTTGTGTCTCTTGGCAGCATCGTTGTCTGATCCTGAGAGCAAGGGTGCATCATGATGGGAGCATGTGGACTGCGAGAAGCTTGTGTTTCAATCATCCCTCTGCATCTGTTCTACCTGGCCGGGCACGAAGGCTTCGTTTGGGGACTTGTGTGTGGTGCAGACACTGCTCTCAGATTCTCTCTCATGGGGCAAGCCTGCTGTCATGGTAGCACTCGTGTGATCATCCCTTGAGCACAGCACAGCTTCCGCCGCATGAGAAGCTGTCGGGCGGCAGGTGGTAGTGGAGAGTTGTGTGTGGGGCCCCTCCGCACTTGCATGTCATGCCTGCAGGACCTAGCAGGAAGTTGTTAAGAGCGATGCATCTGTATTACCCAGCCTGGCACTTGGCCAAGTCTGGGGACCTGTGATGCAGACACAAATCTCCATCAGGCCGTCTCTCGATGTTGTGTTTCTTGGCAGCATCGTTGTCTGATCCTGAGAGCAAGGGTGCATCATGATGGGAGCATGTGCACTGCGAGAAGCTTGTGTTTCAATCATCCCTCTGCATCTGTTCTACCTGGCCGGGCACGAAGGCTTCGTTCGGGGACTTGTGTGTGGTGCAGACACTGCTCTCAGATTCTCTCTCATGGGGCAAGCCTGCTGTCATGGTAGCACTCGTGTGATCATCCCTTGAGCACAGCACAGCTTCCGC